CCCATTTTACAGATGAAGAAACCGAGGCAGACAGCGCTTAAATAACTTGTGCAAGGTCGCACAGCTGGTAAATGTTTGAGGCCAGATTTGGACTCAAGTCTTCCTGACTCCAATTCCAGGGCTCTATCCAGTGCACCTCTAAGCCTAGGGAGCTTTCCTCCCCTTCTCCCTCCCACCAAGAGCTTATGGAGTATAACTCAGGATTCCAAGGGTCCTTCTGTGTATTATTCCAGGGCTGGGTAGAGGAACGTAAAGGTGATTCTTCTTATTTCTAATTAGAATGGTACATTTCTAAGCCCTATGGGGTCTTAGGGGGAGCAGAAGGGAGGATTTTTTTGTAGGGATCCCTCTTTTCATAGGACAAGTTAAGAATTTATCAGCTGTTCTGATTTAGGAGACAATGAGTTTGAGCAAATAGCTCAAGTCTCTGATCACTATTATAGCCTACCTCCATGCCACTTTTATCATCCATTTTCTGAACTCGTTTGATTGGGAAATCTGTCATCTACTTCCATTATGATATCATCTCTATTTCTCCCTCCATTGATTTTTACTCAAATGCTCTCTACTATGCTTCCTGGATTTTCTCATATGACAATATCTTCTTAGCAATGTTATTCCATCTCCCCTTTAATCTAAGATATTCTTTTTGAGTAGATATGATAGCCTTCCTCAGCCATATTGCAATTCTGAGTCACAACCCAGAGTCTTACTATACTCCCCAAATTACTATGACATTTACTATATCTTCTTGTATTTATGCTCTCTAATTCATATTATCATTTATAATCTTTGTGAGTAGGTATTTAGATTGTGATTTTTAAAATTACTGCCTCTCTTTTTGGTTATTATTGCTTTCCACTGATAATTCTCTTCCTTAGGTATCTGGCTTGGGCAAGTGGATGTGGGTCAATTTTTTCTTCCCTCTGGAATTCTCCATTTGAAGTCCTCCATATCAGATTCACAAGTCTTTAGGCAAATACATATTTTTTTGGTAAGGTCATTGAGGTTAAGTGACTTGCCCAGGGTCACACAGCTAGTAAGTGTCAAGTGTTTGGTCTGAGAATGGATTTGAACTCAGGTCCTCCTGACTCCAGGGCCAGTGCCACCTACCTGCCCCTGCAAATACATATTTTTTTATTAGCTTTCCGCACATACACCATCACTAGCTAAGATCCCATCATTCTTATATTTCAAACCAGGGTGCAGAGAATGGAATCTTATTCTCAAATATCATTTTCTCATTTCATTTCTCAAACTTCACTTTTTTCTTCCTTGGAAACCCTTAGCTTTGATTGGCACTAGTGAGGAAAATACAGCTTGTGCCCTTTACATTCTCCAGTTCCTCACCCATGGCTCTGTAATCATCAAAGGAGGAAGCAGGAATTTTCTTGGCATTTTCAGAAGGCCTGGAACTCATTCATTTGAGGCAAAAGCATTACATTGCCTCCATCAGTTTCCCTTTAATGTGAGGGAATAAGGTGTGGAATGATGACAGCATAATCCTTTTTTTGTATATTTTGGCTGTCAAAGATATGACTACCCTCAAAATTATACTTATTAGCTAAAACACAGGTTTGGGACTGTACCTCTACAGAAGGGACCCTGTCCCTCCATAACTCTGTAGGGTTTTCATTATAGCTGTTTCCAGCAAAGAGGGCAAATACCAGCAATAAGCTTCTGGTTGTGGCCAAGCCAGGCCTTAACATTCCAGCCAGAAGAAAGTAGCCCTGCCCCCTACAGTACATTTCAAAAACTTTGGTTTTGCCTAAAGTGCTTGATCCTAGGAATAAATAAATGTGGTTATGTGGTATTTTGTAGGAGTTGCTTTCTGGTGTGTGGAGTCATGTGTATGAAAGGTACAGGTGATCTAGGGATTGAGAAGGCAGTGTTAATATCTGCAATGGGTGGCATTTCTGTCAGGACTACTAAAAGACCACCTAAAAGTTTACCTCCTTAGAGGTGGTTTGCTAGGCTTCCAGTCAATTAAAAATTCTAGATCTTTATAGATCTATACAGATCACTATAGATCTTTCTTTGGCACTTCTTTTTCACCTGCTCTATCAGGTGGAAGACAAAGGTTGGAAGTCATCCCATATACCTTTCAACTGAACAAAGACTCAATTTATAAAAACCACAATGTTTTGGATCCAAACCTTTTCTTGGTGCTTCTTTATCTATAATATCATCTGGAACCAACCCAAATTGGGCAAAAGTGACAGCTAATCCTGTACTATTCATTATCCCTTAGTAACGAGGCATGGGGACAGCAAGGAAAAAGCAAAATATGTTTAATCTTTGTCAAAAGAACAACATTCTTCTTTCCTAACAAACCCAACCTACCTAGCTAAACTGGTTTGATTTTTATCTCTTTTCCCTTCCCTAGTTCTTCCTTGTGGAGAAATTCTAAGAAGCAAAAAAATGGTGAAAAGCAGAAAACAGAAGGTGGTCCAGGGAACCCACTGTCTTGGATAAGCAATCCCTAATAATCTTGAATCGACTGAAAGCCTAGCAAGCCAACTCTAAAGAAGTAAACTTTTAGGCTGTAGAAAAAGGAAGCTTTGGAAAACACACACACATACTCGCAACTTCTTTTCAAGAAAGCCAACACGAAATATCAAACTATATCTTCTGTCCTTAAACTGTTCCATTAAAATATATATACATGATATATATATATATATATACATATATATATACACGTACATATACAATACATATATAATATTCAGATTCAAGTCTCTGCCAATGCAGATTCAAATCATTTTTAAACTTAGAGATTGTTTATTTTGCAGAGAAAGAGCTTAGACCTTGACCTGCATACGAATTGGCCTGCATGAACAAAGCGTTCATTCAAGCTGGCAATTAAACCTGCTGCCCTCAAAGTTACTGGTCTGAGTCTTGGGACTACTTTACTAATAACTTACTAGATATTCTAGAGAATTAGCATCATACAGTTAGAGCTGGAGAGGACTTTAGAGATCATTTGGTCCAAACCCCTCATTTTATATAGGAGGCCAGAGAAGGGCGGTGACACAGGTAGTAGTAAGTGGTAGTTCTGGGATTTGGATGCAGTTCTTCTGCCACCAGATCCAGCATTTTTTTCCTATAGTACCATACCACCTCTCAACTTATGAATGGGTTGTATTCTCAAAATTTGCAAATTAGTTGCTTGGCACTTGGAATGTGTTTTCCCAGAGAAACAATGATCTAAGTGGTAGAATCCCAGATCAGCCTACAAAAATTTATTTAACCAAGAATGTAGTTGAAATATTAATATTGCTTTTGTGAAAAAATAAATTCCATGTTCAAATTCAGCTCATGGTGCTAGGAACAGTTTGTCATCCTGAGGCTATTAGTTGAAAAGAAAACTGCACTTCTGGCCCTCTGCCCAGACACTTCTGGGCCCTGGTATATAGCTAAAGTCAAGAAATCCCTTGACCAGTCAAAGTCAGGAGAGAGTATCCTATTGATTAGTGACTGCCACTGGTACAGCAGGGACATGGGCATTCCCTGTTTTAGAAACTGTCTCTGTCTTCAGTTAACATGTTCACTTAATCTTACTCAAAGAAGACTAGAGGAATTTCTCTTTCTTTACTTTTGCATGATGCCTTGGAAGAAGCCAATTCTACCGAGAAAGAAACATATTTGGTTTCACAGCATCATGGAGGTGGAAGAAACCTCAGAAGCCGTCCAAGTTACCCTAGAGAATACGTTGGTGAGAAAAAATCCGTAGCTCTTTTCTGTAACTCTCATCAATATAAAAATATTTATACAATTACAAACCTGCGCTAGGCTGTGACTTTGTATCACAGCCTAGGGTGGTTTTATTATTAAGGAAAAATGTTTTTCTTTTTTATGTTTCTTTACTGGAAAAACACTCTCAAAGCTCAAATAGCCAAGAGGAAAGTAATTAAAATGAATGACAATAGAAGTATAATGTAGCCTTAACATCCTGATCCCTCTGATAACTTTATAGACTCTAAGACATAGTTGCGACTCAAGCAGAAACCCTTTCTGTAAGAAAAAAAACTTAGGCCTGAACTTTTCACATACTTATCTTGTAAGATCCTAACATCTCTTACTTGGAAAGACTTATGGTTAATCGAAGCCATTCTTCTATGTATCCTAAGTATTTTTTCCAGGTAAGGGCACCTAGAAGATTTGAAGAGAGGTCCTGGGTAGGAAGATTTCATATAAGGGATGGCTTTGGCCACACCAACACTATCTTACACCAAATATCAAATAGGTACTAGATACATGGTAGAGGTAAAATGTCACCAGTACTAATTATCCAATTATTCAATCTCTGGCTACAAGAGGCATCTCATACAGATAGGACCCCTCATTTGTCAGGCAGATATCTTCTGTGAGAATGCAAAAGGTTGCAGCATAGACAGGGTTCTGATACCACTTGAAGATCTAGAGTTTGGTTTTATTTTATCTATGTTTGTAGTCACCCCTCCTCCCTTAATGATCTCACCAATCCCTGGAAGAAAGGGAAGGAATAAAAATCAGGCACAGGTATTTTGGGACTCTACAGACAAAAGAAAATGCTGATTGCCTGCTGGGTTGTACAGACAAACCCCTTGGATAGTTCAGGCCCTACACATTTTGATTTTCATCATCAGGAGGGAGTAAGGATTTTTATTTCCTGAGGTTAGATATCTGTCCAGCTTTACAGCGGAACTCACTGGCAAAGGCAAAGCTAGTCTTTAAAAACAGAACTTTCAGGCCTAAGGAAGCAACTCAAAATGCTTCTTCCCCCTTTGTTATTTGAGCCTCAATTGAAAATCTTCCTTAGTCATGGGGAAACAAAGAAAAGAGACGTAGGAGTGGAGTCTACGGGAGAGGCTAAGGACTTCTTCACCCTAAAAACCTCATCCCAAACAAAGCAGGCCATGCAAGCCCTGCTGTGACACCACTTCACACTGAGCACAGCTGAGCAGCAAAGAGAGATAGCTAGTCGCTTCAGAGCCGGTAGAGTGGATATACTTTACTTGTCTGAGAGCTGTCCTGAAATAAAGGATCCGATAAGCACACCCACAAAAAATAAGGAGGTAGTTAGTGGAGCTTTCCAGTCATCCTCACAGACCAGGTCCCACTGTAAAAGAAACAAAGGAAGACTTCACTTTGACAGTTCATCAACATCATCTTGGCACATTCTATTAAGAGGCACCCCATCGTCCCAACTGTTTCAGACATTTAGTGAGGATTCCGGTAGCCGTGATTCTGTCTTCACACATATATGCAAACATGCATGTACCTGAGTGTGCACCTCATGTTGTTTTGTGTCCAGATGTCATTGGGAGAGGGGGAGGTAAAGAGAAGTGGGAAGAGGAAGAAGCAGGAAATTTTTAGGGTACTTGATGTAATATGCCATCCAATGTGCCCAGTAACTAAATGGTTCCAAGACATATTTCACATGGACATATGGTGTGGAATTAAAAAACCACCAGCCCCTTGGGTTTATTTTTTCAAACAACACAATACTCAGACATTCTTGGGTATAATAGTCAATGTTCTCCTGCCCTCTCTCCCTCTTCTCTTGCATATGGGCTTAGAGATGAGCCTTAAGAAAAAAACCAACCAAACGAACAGAAAAAGAAAATCAGTACTTACTCCTCCCAGGTTAAAAAATTTACTTTTTGGTTTGAAGAACAACACTTCTCCTTCTCTGTCAAAATCAGGCAAAAGGTTCCCACCCCCCCACCCCTCTCCCCAGTCCCTGCATCAAAACAAAGCACAAAACAGCCTTCCTTTGACATTTCAGGAAAGGGCTAAATTTCTCATTCTTAGGGCATTCATCAAAGAATTCAGCATCAGAGATAGGGATCAACACATGCCCTATATCCATTTGAAGTTCTTAACAGGGAGTACTGCCAACTCCCAACAGGCAACTGGAAGAAGAAAAAAAGCCAACCACAGAAACCACCAAACAACCTGAGAAGAAGGAGCTGGTCTTGAACACTCCAAGCTGGTTAAGTGAATCCCTTGCCTCTGGTGCCAGGTCGGTTTCCTCATCTCCATCCTTCCCCTTATTCCCTTCCATCTTCCCTAGTCCACCCTCTCTTTCTATCTCTCAGACCTTAGGAAGATCTGAAATGTAATCTGAAGATTGCTCAGTCCCTAAGGGTAGTAACACTATCTCTAATGGTTTGGGCCAACCTAGGGGGTTCTAAGCCTGTTCCTTCTGTTGTTGTTCAATCCCGTCCAACTCTTTGTGACCCTATTTGGGGTCTTCTTGGCAAATATACTAGAGTGGTGTGCCATTTTCTTTTCCAGCTGATGAGGAAACTGAAGCAAACGGGGTTAAGTGATTTGCCCAGGGTGATATAGCTAGTAAATGTCTGAGGCCACATTTGAACTCAGGTCTTCCTGACTCCAGACCCAGTGGTCTATCCACTGAGTCATCTAGCTGCCCCAAGCCTGTCCTTAGACACAAACAACACTCAATACAGACCTCAAAAAGAACTAGTCTATGGTTAAGGCTACACTTTGTCAACATTTGTGTATAAATCTAGATAGGCTTTACCTACAACTATTATTGTTAGTGATTCCAAAAGCTTAGAGGCTTCTCACTGTCTCTGGGATAGTGACTAACCTAATGGTGTGGTGTCCAGGCCTGAGCATAACTTGTCTCCCAACCTGTACCATCAAAAGTGGCACAAAACATTTATGGCAACATTTACAAAACATTTACACTTTTCAAAGTGAGCTCTTGGGGCAGCATCCCCTCCATCCTGAGCCTTGACCTTGCAAGGAAAATTATGGGCAGAACAAAAAAACAGACAACAGTATGATAAGAAAGACATGTAATGGCTTTTTCCATTGCACCTTTTTCTCTGGCTTCTGGGTCAGTCGGTAGGTGCTCCACAGGCTAGATAGAGCACAGCTGCAGCTACATCACATAGGTAGTCGGGTGGTACTCAGGGTTTGTTAGGAGGTGGGGAGCATGCTTGATCATTGGTCCTCTGAAATCATGATTGGTCATTACATCGGCAGATAAATCGTTCAAAGTTGTTTTTACAATATTGTTATTTTATGAATTGGTTCTGCTCACTTTATTCTTTATATAAGTTCATACAAGTCTTTCTAGGTTTTTCTGAAACCAGCCCCTTCATAATTTCTTACTCCACAATAGTATTCTGTCATACTCAAATACCATATTTGTTCATTCCCCTGGATGAGCACCCCTTAGTTTCTAGATCTTTGCCACTACAAAAAGAGCTTAGTAGTTGTTTTACTGGATCAAAAGGTATGCACACTTTAAAAACGTTTTTGGGGTATAAATTGCTTTCCAGAATGGCTGGACCAGTTCACAGCTCATTAATTATTAAATGATTAATGATTAAAAAATCATTAACAGTGAATTAATGTACCTATTTTCCCACAGCCCCTTCAATACTTTTCAATTTGCTTTTTTTGCCAGTTTTGCCAATCTAATGGGCATGAGGTAGAATTGCAGTTACTTTACATTCTTCTAATTATTGTATTTGAAACTTTTTTTTTATCTGGCTATTCATAATTTGTATTTCTTTCTTTGAAAGCTGCCTATTTGTTTTCAGATGAAGAAATTAAAGCTATCTATAGTCATATGAAAAAATGCTCTAAATCACCATTGATTAGAGAAATGCAAATGAAAACAACTCAGAGCTACCACTTCACACCTATCAGATTGGCTAATATGACAAAAAAAAAGGAAAATGATAAATGTTGGAGATGTGGGAAAATTGGAACACTAATGCATTGTTGATGGAGCTGTGAACTGATTCAACCATTCTGGAGAGCAATTTGGAAGTATGCCCAAAGGGCTATAAATCTAAGCATATCCTTTGACCCAGCAATACCACTTCTAGGACTGTATCCCAAAGATACCATACAAATGGGAAAAGAACCCACATATACAAAAATATTTATAGCAGCTCTTTTTGTGGTGGCCAAGAATTGGAAATTGAGGGGATGCCCATCAATTGGGGAATGGCTGAACAAGTTGTGGTATACAAATGTAATGGAATACTATTGTTCTATAAGCAATGATAAGTAGGTAGATTTCAGAAAAACCTGGAAAGACTTACTGATGCTGAGTGAAGTGAGGAGAACCAGAAGAACATTGTACATAGTAACAGCAATGCTGTGTGATGACCAACTTTGATAGACTTAGCTCTTCTCAGTAATACAATGATCTCAGACAATTCCAAGACTCATGATGGAAAATACTATCCACATCCAAAGAAAGAACTATGGAGACTGAATGCAGATCAAAGCATACTATTTTCTCTCTCTTTTGTTTTCTTTCTATGGTTTTTCCTTTTTTGTTCTGATTCTTCTTTCACAACATGACTAATGTGGAATCAGGTTTAATATGATTGTACATGTGCAGCCTATATCAGATTGCTTGCTGTCTTGGGAAGGTGGGAAGAGGGGGGGAAATTTGGAATTCAAAATCTTAGAAAAGTGAATGTTGCAAACTAAAAATAAATAATTAAAAAAAGAAAACCGCTTATTCACATTCTTTGACTACTATCTATCTATTGAGGAATAGCTCTTATTCTTATACATTTGAATCAGTTCCTTGTATTTCTAGGAAATGAGATCCTTATCAGAGAAACTGGCTTCCCTTCCAATTTTAGATGCATTATTTTTGTGCAAAAACTTTAATTTTATGTAATTAAAATTGTCTATTTTATCTTCCATCATCCATCTACACACAGCTATGTATAAATATTACCTGATTTTATAATATTACCTACTTGTAGCCATCTTATTTTTTCTCTTGGGCAATTTGTGCTTCTCTTTCTCTCTTTTTTTTTTGGGTGAGGCAATCGGGATTAAGTGACTTGCTCAGGGTCACACAGCTAGGAAGTGTCAAGTGTCTGAGGCCACATTTGAACTCAGGTCCTCTTGACTCCAAGGCTAGAGCTTTATCCACTGTGCCATCTAGCTGCCCCTTGTCTCCTCTCCTTTTAAAAATGATTTGTCAATTTTATTGGTCTTTAAAAAAACTTTTTGTATCAGCTTAATTTGGAATGGTTTTATTGATGCCTTTTGTTTGTGTATCATTTTCTTTTCTAAACTTACCCTATCTCTCCTTGACCCAAGTTCAAAAGTGAATCTTTTCTTATAACAAAGAAAACCAGTTAAGCAAAAAGAACCACTACTAATAAACATATCTTCTTCTGCTCACAGAAGAGAGGTAGGGAAGGAGACTGCTAGGGCAGACCTTTACATATGATCAGATTTCGCTGTATCAAATGTTTGTGTTTGTTTTTTTCTTTGTCACAAGAGAGTTCACTCTGAAAGGGGGAAAGTTTCTTTTATAGAAATGAGTGACAAAAAAAATGTGAAAAAGTACTCTAAATTTACATGTACATTTTATATGTAAATGTGTTAGAAAAGAAACAAAAGCAACTGATAAAATAACCCTATGACCAACAATGTATGCAACATTCTGCCTTAGTAGCCTTCTACTTCTCTGTCAAAAGCCGAGGGTTACATTGCATGATCTGTTCTCTTGGACCATCGTGGTTTTTTAAAATTACTCTGACTTTGAATTCTTCTTATGGACTTTTCATTTACATTGCTTTACTAATTGTACACATTGTTCTCATGATACTGCTTATTTGACTCTTCATCAGCTCATACTGATCTTCCCATGTTGTTCTGCATTCTTTATATTTGTCATTTGTTTACTAATATTTTGATTATTTTTTCTTTTCCTACTTTCCTTTGGTTATTCCTGTTTCCCCTCCTAATGCCATTAACATGTACATATTTCATTTTTCTCTCATTAGCAAAGGATTACGATCATAATTTTACCTCTGAGAATTTGACTATAACTCAGAGACTTTTCTCATTTCCTTTTGCAATTATGTCCTTGTTATTTAATTCTAATTTTATCAGATTTTTTCAGAAATAGTGTGCAAATGTCCTGCCTTTTTCTGTTTGCTAGGAGCATTTTTGCATATGTGACCATTTTTTTTGTAAAAGCTCTACGAGCACTTGGAATAAAAAAAGTATATTCCTTACTTTTTTACATTTTGTTTTTTCTAGATATCTGTTGATTCCAACTGTTTTTTAAAGCTCAATCCTACTCTATTAAAA